CAAAAAGGGATCTCTTCTAGGAATAAGACTATTCGCGATCGCTCATGGTCTCAGCCTACATCGCAGAGTGGGAAAGTTGCAGGGATCATCCAAGACTGGAAGTTAAGTGTCAACTTAACCGATTGGGTGAAAGCTTAGCTGAGCCCCTTGCAACATGGGAAGAAGGCAAAACGCCCTGCAGATGAAGCCACCTTGCATCAGCTGCAGCAAGGATCTTCTTCGTGTGACAAGTTAGGTAGCCGGCGTTGATGCGTTTGCTTCTCCTGATGGCAGTTCTCGGTGCATTAGGCGTGCCGGGTTGCGTGTCATGTTTCAGGCATGCGGCAAGTTCTCTGGGCGAGCCAACATGTGAGCATACTTCAACCCCGAACATGAAGAAGCACAAGGTTGTGTCTGGTTCGGCTTACGGGCTTCTGAATCGTTCTGCATCGGCGGAGTATTGTTGAATTCATCACTGCACACCATTCACAATCTCCGATCACATTGTCTCTTGTTCTGTCGTAGAGATACATCAAATTCATGGCTGGTGCCCACCATGACTCATAATTGCCGTGCCGCAGCAAGGACTATGTCTGCATGGCAATGACCGTCAAGCTATGATCGAGTGAGTGGAAGCTCCGGCGACTGCCAGCATCGCGGTCCCATGCAAGGCACCAAACCGCCTTCCAGATGAAGCCGTAGTTATCATTCCTAAGAGCTTGCGCGAGCATGGCTCTTCTTGTGAATGCATCAGCAGCAGGACGAACTTGCCGCGTATATCCAGACTAGGTTTGGGTAGGCGGCACTGATGCAGTAGCTTGCCCGGATCTCCTAATGCTGCGGGCTGGATCTGGCTCCGGGCACAGATTTCCGCGACATGCGTCCAACAGATGCCTCGTGGCGTTGCCTTGCCTATTGAACATACTTCTTGGTTTGGCCGGTGTAGCTGCATGTCTTGGGCATCTTGGGCATGCTGTTCCGTGCCACTCTGGGTGGGTTCTGGCTTCATTGAAGGCGAGCCTCAGCTGTCAATGTCGATTCGCAAAGGCTGAAGTGAACGCGTCAACTGCAGGAAGGATGCTCATTTCACCCAGCATAACTTAGACAGGCATACCTCATTTGAGCACAGAAGGCAAGAAAGTTACATCCCGCTTGCCGCCAACGTTGTGTTTGGTTCTGCCTTGCGGGCCAATTTTGTTATCTTTAGAAGGTTTGGCTCATGCGGGTTTCTTCTGGTCCCAAACCCTAGGCCCCAAACTCTGGCCCTAACCCCTAACCCTAAACCAGAAAGAGTGTAGCCAAACGTTTTACAAGAACAACCTCGAGCCAAACGTCCTGACAAAAACTCCTCCACCCTATCTTGCGAGTGTAAAGTTTGTGCTATAGGGGGTCACTTAAGAAGCACTCAGGAGAGGGGGGCAACCCTAATGCACGTGCATGTCAAGTTGGGGGTGGTCAACCCCGTGAAGTGGTTTTCTCTCTGAAGCATCCGGAAACGTGTGAAGATGCCTGAAACTGGTGCTGCTTGGGCTGCATTCTTATCGTACCTTAGCCCAAACATCCTCAACCCAGGTCCGTGGCAGGACCTTGCCAGCTAACGTGAGCCGCTTTGGCTTTCGATGCAACTTCATTTTTGTCCCGTGCCCATCGTCAGTCGCAGGAAGAACTGCATGGAGCAGGCGCAGTGCCGCAACCAGGACTCGCACGGCATGAGCATCGTCAACTGAGGCAGGGAAGATGGACGACGCTTTGCAAGACAAAGCCACCGGCGTGTTCCCACTCGTCAAGGCTGAAATGAAGGCGTCAAGTCTCTGAAGAGGATTCTCATTTCATCCAGGACAACTCAGGCAGGCATATCTCAACTACTAGCATGCAGCATGAGGCAAGACAGTTACATCCGACTTGCTGCCAACATTGTGTTTGGTTCGGCGTTGCGACAGCAGCAGGAAGGGTGCTGATCGTATGAAGGCTGGGTAGCGATCCCCAGGCTCTGTCGATTCAGATATAGTGTTGTGCATTGGATGTGGCTGCATCGGTGTGAAGTTTCCGAATGATTACTGGCTGTGCCGGGTGCCTGAAGCCCCCAGTCACTAGCTTGATCCACATGTGCTACAGTGCTACCTTTGCTTCAGCGGCATAAGATTCTAAGGACGTCTGCGTCTTCAAGGGATGCGACGCGGCGACGCGATGCACCAGTCCGAGTCCGGCGGAGCTGCGGAGCAACGGTGAAGGTGTGAGATCTCAGCCAAAGGCAGGTCCGCAAATTTCACGGTGATCCTCGTCTGCTCAGGGCCTCCAGGCTTTCGTGATGCGCTCGCCTTACTTGCAGACGGAGATCTTGCAAGCTGTAGCACCCCAGCCACCCGAGAATCCAAGAAGCAGACCCCAAGCCTAAAAGTCTTCAAGGGTTGTGAAAGTGGAGCTCGCGCAGTTGCTGGTCTCTCACTCTGCTTTAGCCACTTCCGAGGTCTCACCTAGGGTTTACTTAGGCCAGGCCCTTTAGGCCCTTTATACCCTTTAGGCCCTTTAGGCCCTAGGATTTTCCGTGAGCTCCGGGCCAGATGTCAAAGTTCTGTCTCGGCCCATGTCTTCGCCATTACGATGGCCGCTGGCAGCCTGGGCACCGAAGTGTGGCTGGCAGCCTCAGCATGCCACGCTCCAGTCTGAAGAACTGCATGCCACCCCGAACAGCTCGGAGTTCTCATGTGACGCTGGTGCCAAGGTTCCGCTGTGTCTGCGGTACGCGCTCTAGTTTAGTTGAGACGGCACTGTCATGATATGCCTCTGCTAGGGCTGGCCCTAGCTGGGAAGTACCTTGCAGGCGCGGCGGATGGCTTGCATCAGTGAGGAAACCAGCGCTGCCTGCAGGGACCCGTAGGACAGCCTGCAAGGTTAGCTTTGGGGAGTCCGGACGCCCGACCTCAACCTGACTCTCGTCTCCAACCCGAGACTGTCGCTTCGGCGTCCGGACTATCTCACGAGGGGTGCGTGGTGGAATCCAAATAGGAGAGAAAGGCTCGGACGCGTGCATGAGCAAGATGATGCCTGCATGTTTGCTTCCAGACGCAGGGCGGACGCAAGCTTGTCGGCTGGTCTTCATTCACGGCAACCTGTGTCAGATTGTCTCAGAAAATTAAACCGGATAATTTCCTGTAGGCGCCCACTTCCCCCCCTTCTGTTCAGGATGGAGTATCGTGATCCCAATTACTTACCGCTTGAGGGCCGTTAGGGGTTCATAGACGCTCTAACTCAGGGGCACAGACTACACGGAGAAGCCGCGGGTAGTAGAGGAGTGGAGCAGACAGCGGCCAGGGCGTGCATACAGCTTGAGCTTCTGGCTTTGGGTGAATGCTGAAAATCTGCCACCGGCAACTCTCTGTGCATCTGACGTGCCAGACAGAGATTGGCGAGACGCGTCGCGTTCGGGGCTCTGAGCTGCTCTAGTTGCGTTCTGGGCGTGCTTCTGGTCGTCAAAGGCTTTTGCAGTGCATCCGTCAGTTCGCAGAGGCCATGCCTTGGGCAGGCAGAGGTCTTAAGCAAGACATGGACACAGTTTGGAGCGCGGGTTGAAGAAGTTTGCTAGTTTTTCATCACCAACAAAGTTTTAGACACAGCTAAGTGGTTTTCATCATGTCGGATTGATTCGGATTGCCGGGAACTGTTCCCCATGTGCTGGCTTGACGATCCGGCAAGCGGACCAGGTAGGACTGATGACCGCGTGCAGAGTTCTGGTGCTCCTCTGAAGTCATCTCTGACGCCGAAATTTGATTGCAACAGTTTTTGTTGTGCCCCGTTTCTGGCAGAGCTGCTTTAGCTGCATGGACATAGTCTCCACCGGCTGTGCACTGAATCTACTGGACTCTTGCTCGGAAGCCCTTGACGGCTTCAAGTACAGAAATGACCTTCTGCTCCCCACCCACTGTGCTTCCAGGACTTGCCTGTGCATGAGGAGGGCCGTCGAGCGGCGGACGTATGTGAGCCGCCCAACCTACCTGCTCTCTCTGTTGGCAGATGGCACCGGGACGCATTGGCAGCTCTTGGCCTCAGACGTCGCCGCTTTCAATGCTTTGGGAGACCGCCAGTGGCGGGCAACAGCCAGAAGCCCTGGGGCATGCTTCCGCGGCCAAAACAGCAGCACCTTGACACAGCCGACAAATGCAGTGCTGCTGGCCTGCGCTTCCGACCTTTCGAGGCGCAGCGCAGTATTATGCAGTATTCGCTTTGCGACTGTGTCGGTGCTGCATGGTGAAGCGCGGGCGACCGGATTGAGGCACGACACAGTCTCGTCAAGCAGGAACGCGTCCAGATCTCAATGATCCTCGTCCACGCTGTGGCCAAGTCCATCCAGCCGCAGTTGCCTGTTCGGCGCGAGGTGGCGTCTGTCTTGCGGCTCCTGCAGGAGTTCTGTGCAGAGCCTGAGGGTACAGAGCGTGCCTAGTTCTCCACACTAGTTGTCGGCTGTATACGGCTACGGGGTTGCTGCCAATCGCTGCCCGGAGCTTTTGTTTGACGCAGTGGAGGCCTTTGCCTTTGCCAGATTTACGCCCGCAGTCACGCCTGCACAAGGGCCTCGAGGCTTCCAAGAAATGTCAGATCTAGGCAGAGATTGGCGAGACGCGTCGCGTTCGGGGCTCTGAGCTGCTCTAGTTGCGTTCTGGGCGTGCTTCTGGTCGTCAAAGGCTTTTGCAGTGCATCCGTCAGTTCGCAGAGGCCATGCCTTGGGCAGGCAGAGGTCTTAAGCAAGACATGGACACAGTTTGGAGCGCGGGTTGAAGAAGTTTGCTAGTTTTTCATCACCAACAAAGTTTTAGACACAGCTAAGTGGTTTTCATCATGTCGGATTGATTCGGATTGCCGGGAACTGTTCCCCATGTGCTGGCTTGACGATCCGGCAAGCGGACCAGGTAGGACTGATGACCGCGTGCAGAGTTCTGGTGCTCCTCTGAAGTCATCTCTGACGCCGAAATTTGATTGCAACAGTTTTTGTTGTGCCCCGTTTCTGGCAGAGCTGCTTTAGCTGCATGGACATAGTCTCCACCGGCTGTGCACTGAATCTACTGGACTCTTGCTCGGAAGCCCTTGACGGCTTCAAGTACAGAAATGACCTTCTGCTCCCCACCCACTGTGCTTGCAGGACTTGCCTGTGCATGAGGAGGGCCGTTGAGCGGCGGACGTATGTGAGCCGCCCAACCTACCTGCTCTCTCGGTTGGCAGATGGCACCGGGACGCATTGGCAGCTCTTGGCCTCAGACGTCGCCGCTTTCAATGCTTTGGGAGACCGCCAGTGGCGAGCTGTGCCCCAGCAGCAAGCCTGCGGCAATGATTAGCATACGAACTGCGGCTCAACAGATGTTTTGCGCATGACGGTCTTCATGTCCAGTGCGTTCTTCGACGGCCGCTGCAGTCGGAGTCTGAACAGCCTTGCGACGGTTGTGGCCAAGGCGTTTCGCAGACCGACATGACCTTGACAAAGACGCATGCTAGCGGCAAGAGGCTTTGGGGCCGACTCCTATCGGCCGCAATTCTACTTCATCTACTTCTCTCCTTCATACTCGGCTCCGGGGCTCCTCGCTCGGGGACGTAGATGGCGCCACGGCTCAGGGCCAAGTTGGACTTGAACTCTGCGGCAACATGGAGGCCAGGCGGAGGCTTAGAGGCTTGCAGCCTCCTCGCGAGTCACTGTGACGTCACGATGACACCAAGTGCATGGCAGAGCGTCCTGATGTGGACCGCGGCTCTCTTAGACCGGAGGCGTGAGTTTTGATTCTAAGGTTCTCTGATGAGAGCTGGCCTCCCAACATGGCGACTTGTCTCTGGGAGATTGTTACGAAAGCTCCTTCCTCAAACTTGAGGAGGGCTTTCGTCTGGAGCCCGAATGTTCCTTGGCAGAAGCCACCAGAACGGTGCATTTTCGCCGGGTACAGCCCCAGCACGCAGTTTCGATGAGAAACGGGTTTTGAATGATGCTGCTAATGCGCCTTTCTGGGTGTTTCGTATCCTCGGATGGGGAGCCTGGCTACTTTAGGACACAGAGCCCCCATTTGAGCTTTCGTCCCCATGCGTCTGGGCACAAGTGCAGATCAGATACTGGTTGCAGAACTCGCCCTGCGGCATTGCTCACGCCTTGTCCTGTTGGTTCGCGAACATGCAGACTTTTCATTGTGAGGGAATGTAGGGGCTGTGGTGTGGTGTGAGCCACTTCCCCAGCCTTGGAGGCTTGGAGGGCTCAGGCCCAGGCCGCACCTCGGGCCCGTCAGCACCTCCGGCATACTCAGAGTGGTAGTTAGATCCACGCAGCGGAACTCAAAGGCCCATAGTTTCAGACCGCCGTCACGGCGTTGGAGGACACGGAGCCCTTTCAAGTTTCGAGGTACCGGGCCTCTCTGGCGAAATTCGCCATGCGATGCCTCACTGCATCCCAGGCATGGTACCGTCAAGCAATAGGGAGTGGTGTATGCGTAGCCAGAATCGGGGCATTTCGGAGGTGTCCCCTGTGTGTGGACGCAGGTGAGCTATGCAGCTTGTCCGTGTCAACGAGGCGGCCGCCGTGGGTTCCCGGCTCGCTTGCGCCAGCTGTGACTGCACCGAGCCGTCTCAAGCCAAAACGCAAAACGATCAGACCTGGCACTGTCAACCCGGGGCTGGGCTCTGGCAAAAAGGCAGGCGCTCGCAGCATAGGAAGGCCATGCAGCTGATCTCCCCTTGCACCTACTGCTGCACATTCGCCTGTCCTCGTGGCGGCAGCAAGTCCAAAATTGTTGTTGCTTGCATGCTTCGGCCCTGACTTTGGACTGCGTTAGAGGTGCAAGCAAGCATGAAGAGACCTGCGTAGCATGACATCAAGAAGCCTCTCCTGATCCCCATGCCATGCAAAACGCGTTCACGATTGCACCGCGCCACCCGCAGGCGTCATCGAGGTTGATGACCAGGCATCCCATCAGAAAAGTCCCGACTCCGAGATGACGGGGCTGCAAATGCCGAGGTCATGCAGAACAGGCGTCGCGCTGCTGAAGCATCATGTCGGGATCTCCTCCGGGGGTTCCAGCGTCAAGCGGCAGGTTGCAAGTTGGTCCGTGGTTCGAGGCTGGCGCCATTTGCTCAGCGTATGTCTTTGATACGATCCGCGGGACGTACAGCACGGCGGCCAGCGATGCACCGCTGCACCAAATTCGGCGTGGTTGCCTGCAGCAGAAGTCGTCTGCATTCAGTTGCATAAGCAGATGCTGCAAAAGTGCCTTGTTTCATGGCAACTGGAGACATGCTGGGGTTGCGCCGCCTTGATGCCCAGAGACTGCGATGTGCTCCTTCTCGCTTCGCCCAGGGGCCTCTACCGGCCTTGCTCCGCATAGCCTGGGGTCTGGTCAAGCCCCTCACAGCCGCTCCGGCCGTCACGTCTGTGCACCAAAACCTCCAAAACCCCCCCAAAACGGACCTGCTGTGATTGGCTCCTTGGCTTTTGAGGGGCGAGGCGGGCGAGGTGTTCGCCTTGGCCTCCTCCGGCAAGGCCTGCGTTTGCCGGAGGACGAGCCCTTCGCCTGCAGTGCCCTCAGCCCTACGCCATCCAAACAAGGGGCCCTAGGGCAGGCGACAGGCCCTAGGGATGTAAAGCGCCATAGACCCATACTTCATTGCACATGGCCCGCAAGTACAGACCACCGGCTTTCCAGGCAAGGATGGGGAAGAGCTTCGACTTGCCGCCATGCAGCCTGAAGCTCGACGTTCGACTCGGCACCGTTGTTGAGGCAGCTTACGGCCTTATCCGTGGAAGGCGGCCTGGTGGCGGGGCAAGCAAAGGGCCGCGGTAAAGACGCCTTTTGCGGGCTGCGCAGCATCCCAGAAAGTTGGGAGGCTCGGACGCGCTTGAGCTTGCGTGGTGGTTTCGAGGGAGCTGATACGCCTCTCTTGCACCACTTTCTTTATTAACTGAGCGGCCAGGATACCCAAATGCACTCTTCCACGGAATGATTGCAGGTAAGCCTGAGCACGTCTGAAGCTGTGGCAGTTGCAGAGAGTGCCCAACATCCACACCTGCCTTGCAGCGGTCTTGTCAACCCTGGCAGCTCCTGATCTTGCATCCAGGTCTTTTTGTAGCTTTTCCTTCCGGCGGCCCCGTCAGGCCTCAGGAAGAGTGCCTAGCAGTAAGCTGGAGGCCGTTCGGCAACTGTGGCAGCTGGCGTGACGCACGGCGAAAAAGATGTGGCAGCGCGGCATGTCTTGAAGGAGCTTCGTCGTGTTCTTGTCTAGCTAGAGCTAGAGACGGCTGTGTGAGTCTTGCACTATCAAGCACCCACGATCCTTACATCTTGCGTTCGTTCGACGCTGTAGATGAAATCCCACCTGCTCAGGGCCTCTTAATCACAACCTCTACACGTACCCTCGACGTTGGCAGATCAATGCCCAGTTGAAATGGCTGCCTCCATATGAAGCAAAAAGCTGATTTGGTAGGGATCCCAAGGACGTGATCAGCAACAGCAACAACGACCGCATGTCTCGAATTCGTAGTAGGGCCGTGAGCCGCAGTTCCAAGCGGCTGACAGATGTAGATCAAGGGCTTTTCTGATCTTGAGGGAGAGTGCATCTTGTTGTCACAGCAGACAGCAGAGACGATCGACTCTGCACAAGAATAGTGCCGTGAGCAGACTGTCAGCTCAAGTTCTTCAGCCGAAGCAACGCCACTAAGTCACAATCGTACTTGTGTTCCCATGCACACGTAATTTCAGCTTGAACAGCAGATTGTTAAGGCTTGTCAGTAAGCAGACGGTATCAGTATAAGTTTAAAGAACTTGCCGAGAGCCACCTCAATCTGTGCTTTTTCAGCACATGCAGATGAGTGTTACCCTGTTGTTTCTTGAGCAGACATTCACATTTACAGAGATCTCCCGATAAAGTGCGGGCCCGTCGATGACAACAGGGCCAGTAGACATGAGCCGAAATGTGGATTCCATCTAAACTTCAGTACGTTTCTTGACTGCTGCTAAAAAAACCCATGGACACTGGCCGCATTGCAGCTGCAAGATGAGTTTCGGAGTATATCGCCCCCAGATGGGGGTGGCAAGCGGAATGCGAGTGCTTTGCAGCGATCAAACACTTCAGGAGTTCTTGTAAAAGAGAAAGAGCTGCTCATGTGACCTTGATGTCGGAAACTCGTTGAGGAGCAACGGCGTGCTGCTGAGTGCAACGGCCGCCAGCAGGCAGGCAGCTGAGGAGATGCAAAGGTTGTTTGTCGCTTGAACTGTCCCCATCTTGAGTGCCAGGCGCCAGTGGCGAATCCAATTACTGGCGAGATGGCCGGTGCTGTCCCTGAACCGAAGACGGCAACACGACGTCCTCCGTCAGGAACATGCCCGTTGTAGGCTTCCAGGTTCAATCTTTTTCAGTGCCTGAGCAGTCCGGTTATGCTGCCAGTCAGACAAACTGTGCGCTGTGATTGCTTGCGGATTGCCATCCTGGCTCAAAGCTCGATTAGGGCGCCTTTGTGCGCAGAGGACGGAGAGGCTGGCTAGTAAAATTTCCACATTTCGCGGTGCGTGCACGGCTGAAAAAGTCAGAGTCGCGAGTCGTACGCATATCAGTAGAAGGATCCCGTCTCCAGTGCGCGGCACTTGATGAACCGCTACAAGGTGGCACATGCACGCATTTGCACGCATGGGACTGTTGGTGTTGCTTGTCTGTCGTTGGCAAGTTGGCAGTCGTTGGCAGTTGGCAGGTGCTCAAGACGCTTGGAGACGGGACGAGCACTTAGTTCATGCCTCGCCAACTCGTGTCAGCTTGGCTGCTTTCCTTTCTCTCCGGTCCTAGAACTTGCCACCTCAATCCGCTTTGTTTTCGATTCAGGACATATGGTTCAGTTCTGAAAGCCCAGAACAAGCAGACAAATGAATGGGTGCGCACGGGCTGCTCTTTCTCACTGGACACTTTCTCAATCGAGATTCTCGGACAGTGCTGATCCGACAGGTGGCAATCAAGAAGATGAAACAGAAGTACTATAGCTCTCTCCCTACTTCAGCCGTCGGATCGGTCAGAGATGTCTGTGGCATCTTGGCTTGAAGCCGAGGCTGGGATGAATGCATGAAGCTTCGTGAGATCGCGTCATTGCGGAAGCCAGGGTCTTAAGATCCACTTTTTGGATGCACTACCGATGTCAGCCCCCTCCCCCACATGCTCCCTCTCCAAGGCTTATACATCCCAACATCGTGAAGCTCAAGGAGGCCACCGGGTGGCTTCAAACCGTGTGTGTCTGTGTTTATGTCACTCTTAGACAGTCTGGCTTGGCTGTGCAGGTCATCAGAGAAAACGATGAGCTTCATCTAGTGTTTGAGTTCATGGA